TTCTGTTTGATTATTCTTTTTTGATTGCAGTTGTTGCATAGTTATTGCTTTTCTAGGATATATTTGACCTGGCCAATCAGCTATTAAAGGAATAACATTATGTTGAAGATACTGCTGAAATTCTGGAAAAGATGCAAATTTTTCTATTGCCTTAATATATGCTTCTATTGAATGTAAATCAAGCTTAATAAAATCTATTAGTATTGTATTACTAAGTTATCGATCTTTCCATTTTTTATGAATATCTGCATTATAGCAATGAATAGTTAAATTGTTAAGTAAATCTTCTTCAGAATGAAGAAATTGTTCTATAAATCGATCATTAAATGATTGAGAAAGCAAAGCCATATGATGATTTTCTATTTGAAAAATTAAAGAATTACTATCAATAAGTAATAGATTATGTATGCTATATTAATTTAAATCCATATTATATATAATATTCTTTGGAATTGCATTTGCTGTAGATATAGTAATAGTAAGAATGGTAGTCATATGGGCAACAGAACTAGTGGAGGTAGTTATTGGCATTCTTAAGCCATGAATATTATGATAATCATCAATATTTGCAACTATTACATTATTCTGATATTTTAAAAGCTCTTTTGTAATATTATCCCTATGAATTGATGATATAGCATTTTTTTCACGCCGATTTTCTCTTGATGTAGAACTTAATTGCATATTAGATAAGGAATCAATAGCTCGATCAGATGTACCTGAATGATCTAGAAACATTGCAATATCTTTTCTTAATGAGCTGATATGTTTATTTCCAATTCCTGCAAGAAAATAACATAAAAAAGAAAGCCCTTTCTGTCTTTGTACAACAGTTTGATCCACAAGACCCCTACCACTTGGATTGATCAACTTTTCAAGCATATTGAAAAATGGTCTAAGATTAGGATCCTTAGACTCCATATCTATTCTGAGTAATTTCCAATCATAAATTGGCAATTCCTTTTCTTTTTTTTCTCTTGCATAAAAAATCTGTGCCATTGATTTCACATTTTCAATAAAATTAATTTCACCAACTCCCTTATCATCTCTTACCTCTGATGTCTTTTGTTTCAAATCAATATCTGTTATCAACTCAGAATTACCATCATGATCAATTTTCATGATTGCGATATCATCTAATTTCCTTTGTCTTTTTAAAGTTTCTCTAATATTACCATTTACAATATATTTCATGTAATGTTTATGACAAAACTGTGTAATGTTTAATTGCTAAGTAGTATCTAAAGTTTTATGTTGTAAGGCTTTGTATTTAGCATCTTCTGTAAATCTTCGAAACTTAAATTCAGTTCCTTCGACTCCACATATAATACACAGTCCAATAAGTTTCTTCTGCAAATACTGCTTTGAAATTTTCATTATAATATTCAGAATTGCTTATTTTAAAATATATGATTAGCAGGATTATTTCGTTAATATATTATAAACGACGTCTACAATAATAGTATCATAGTTTTTTTTCTCATTACATAAAACAATTATCAAAAATTTAACGCCAATATACTACTTTAAACTATATAAATAGTTACGTTATACATTTATTGTGTAATAGCCAATTATGCAAATGTTCAGTATACTACTCATTTGCATAAACTAAAAATAAGCGCTGGTTAGAAATTTAGTATAACTTGTTCAAAAAGCTGATCAATCAACTTTGAACTAACCTAGTTTTTAGTATCACTAATTAATACAAGGCAAGAGATTCAAAGTTAAAAAAATCCAAAAAATTAAAAGAATGCCAGATTAAATTATTTGCTCTGATAAAAGAAGGTAAATAAACTACCTATCTAACTCATTTTTTGGATAAAGTATAGGAATCTAAGAAGAAAAATATTCCTTCAGACAGCCTATACCACCACCATTTGCAATATCCTTTTAAATCCAAAAATTGAACACATACAAATTTCTGAAACTGTTGTAAAATTACAAATAAAAAAAAATATTGGTAAGTTTTCGTAATTTTACAAATATGCTAAATTTTTAAATTTAAAAATATTACTTGCAAATAGGCTAAATATATTAAAAATTTTTTTGTTTAGAGGAAACTTAATAATAATGATTCTAGTTAACTAACTCATCTAAAAACTCTTACATCTTTAATCATATCACTGACAAAAATAATATTATTTATGTATGTAATAATAATGATTTCGATGAATACAATGATAATGAAAACAATAAAAACAACAAAGAATAATTAAAGTTTATATATTTCTGACTTATTTTACTAAATCTATCTTGATATTTCAAAAATATGATATATTATACCAGTTTTTTGTTTGATTATTTTTTAAAATTTTTTTTTTTGTAGAATTTTTTTTAGTTTTTATTTTGATTTATTTTGATTCTTTTTTTATGTAATTTTTTTTGGATTTTTATTTTTTTTTTAAAAAAATACTATCCTTTCAATGGTTTTCCTTTCAAATTTAAAAGAAATTTTACTTATATTTTAAAGTTAATTTTAAATATATTGAAAATTAGTTATTAAACTAATAATATTATTATAATAAAATTTATGATATTTTTTTAAGTAAAATAAAAAAAAATTTACATTAATTAGTAATTTTTTACACATTAATTTAAGTTAGAAGTTTTAAAAATAATTTAATAAAATTATTTTCTTTATAAAAGCTAAAATTTTTAATTTTAATTAATTTTATAATATTAAAAAAACTTTACAAAATATATAAATTTATATTTAAAACATTTATTTATATATTTAAATATTATTTATTTATAAAAAAATCATAAATTTAAAGTTGAAAATTTTGTATATATTTAATATTTTAATTATTAAAAATGAAATTTATTTAAAAATAATAAATTTTATAACATATTTTATCTAAAAATTAAAAAAAATTGTAAGTTTTTATATAGAATTTTACATAATAATTAATTGAAAATCATGACTAAATTTGAATAAAAATCATTATCATTTAAGAGATAACAAAATATTAATAGAACTAATTAATGTGAAGGAACAAATTTACTTATCTAGTGAATGAAGTAATGAAGTAATATAATAATTAAATAAAGTATTGTGCAATAAAATGATGAGTTACTAAAATTTCAAAAGCAATTACCAGTGATCAGAATATAAATAATAAAAAATTCATAAATTTATTAACAAAATATAAACATTCAAAGTATTACATATTGTAAAACTGTCATAATACTATGCATTGCAAAATCCTTGCAATACTATGCAATGTACAAATATTCAAAATCCTATGCATTATAAGCCTTTAAAGTATTATGCATATGTATATTTTTTAACAACCTCATAATCTTACATAATATTACGAAGCGTAAGGATTACATAATACTTCGCATTATTAAATTTACTAATGTAATTTGCAAAAATTACACGTTAATAATACTACTAACAAGAAATAAATCAATGTAGATAAAGTAACCATTATTTAGAAAGATTCTTTATATATAAATAATCTAAGATTTCTTGACTAGCAAACCAATTCTAGCATAAATGTTAATACAGGAATGCAAAAATTGTTATTGTGAATGTATCTGTGAACTTGATTTAATTATACCTTATTTCTATTAAACCAATAAAGTTAGTATTAAATCAATAAATGTGTCATTAATCATATGGTTTTTTAGTTCACATTGAAGAGAATTGATATTATGGGTAGCAAATGAAAGAAAGGAGTTCAGTTATTTTGATCATTAGGCTAAAACTTAAGAAATTATAACTTTCTTTAAAAGTAATCTATAGAGTTATAATAGTAGTCATCCTTTTTGAATTATCTTTGTTTTATTAGTCTAATAACTTTAAATTTATATTCGTTAGAAAGCTTTTGATGAAAACGATTCTAATAATTATATTTCTATTAAAATATAATTATTATATCAAAGTTAATCAATTAACAATAGTTTTATAAAATAATAAATATTATTATTTTAAATTTTAAATAAATATATGATCAATAATATAATATATTTTAATTTTTTAATGTATAGATTTTGGATTTAGATTTTAAAATATAAAAAATTTTAAATACTTGAAAATTTTAATATATTATTTTTAAAATATAAGATAGTTTACTATATACTTCTGGTTAAAAATAATTCTCATAATTATTTTTAAAATTTACTAATTGCAACTATTTATGAATTTCTATATTAAAATAAATTTACAAAAAGTTACAATCAAGTTGTAACTCAAGTTATAACTTATCGAATTGCAACTTCTTAATTATAGTGCTTATTTTTACTCTTAATCAAAAAGTTTAGGATCATCTTTGTGATCTGCAAATTATCTATTATAAATAAATTACTACATGTTTATACAATCTAAAATTTGTATTATATAATAATCAATAAATAATTTACGCTATACATATTTTTATTTTGTTCTTTCATTTTTATTTTTCATAAAAATGGTTAAAAATAAAGAGCTTACAGATTTTGAATGTGAAAAGGTTATCAGTTTTAATGAAGCTGATAACTCAAAAAGAACTATTTTAAAAAAAGGCTTTGAAAAAAAACCACTATTCATAATATTATAGCAAAGTATAAAAAACAGGTATTATTAGTATTGCTTTAAGAAGTAAAAATTCAAATATATTAACTAAAAAAGATAAATAATATCTTAAAACTATTATTACTCAAAATTGACGTGAACTAGTAAATAAAATAGTAAATACTTTACTGAATCTACAGAAAAAGTAATATATGGGAGGTTTGCTAGGAAAATAGGGCTCTGAGAAATTTTTATTAAAATTTTAATTTTTATTGCATTTTAATCTAACATTATCAAAAATTAAAATGCAATAAAATTAAAATTTTAATAAAAATTTCTTAAAGCTCCATTTTCCTAGCAAACCTCTCATATAAGAATATTATAAAAAGTATATTATATAAAATGGGATATAATAGTCATACCACTAATATTAGTAAGCGCAATTAAAAAATTCATTTAAATTAGACTCATAAAAAATGTTTATAGTCTATAGATAATTGAAAAAAGATAGTATGGAATGATAAATCTAGGTTTATATTATTCTAAAATAATGGAAAATCTGAGTTTGATATTTTCAAAAAGAAAAATATAATATTAACTATCTTGCTTCTACTGTTAAACATGGTAAAAGTGATATTATGATATAGGGGTATTTTTCTTGGTATGAATTAGGTTTATTAGTAAGAATAGATAGTTGAATTAATAGTGAAAGATATATAAATGAGATTTTTGCCTATCATGTGATATCATTTTTAAAGGAGTTTAAAAAAAATAATAGTGAATATTTATTTTAATAAGATAATACATCAATCTATACTAGTGCAAGAACACTTAATTTTATTAAAGAATTTGAAATAATTTTACTACTATAGCCTGGTCAAAATCCAAACTTCAACCCAATTAAACATCTTTAGGATGAGTTTGAATATTATATTTGATTTAAACAAAAACATCCAAAAAATTTAAAAGAATTAGAGACATTTCTTCAGGAATGCTGGTCTGAAATTTCATGTGAAGTTTATTAAAAGTTAGTTGCAAGTATGAAAAATTGAGTAGAAGTTAGTGATACCTGACGAAATTACTTTCTTAATATGATGAAATTGACGAAACTAAAATGACGAAACTAGTTTTTTATTAATGATGAAATTATTTTACTTAATTGCTGAAATTATATTTAACTTGATCTAA